GGGGGGGGGGGGGGGGGGTGATTGACTCCAATCGGGTTGACTGACCACGTGTTAACTTCTACGATGTAGTAATAAACGGTACTCATTGCAACGGTACTCCAGATATTTCATGAATGAATCCTTTCGCATTGATAATTTCACGATATCACGTTGTAAGGGAGATGAATCATAAAGCCGTTGTGATTTGTAGCCGCGCCGACAATGCAAGGTCGTTGAACGACGTTGAAGCAAGTCTGCCAACTGAGGTGGCCGCCCGTGAAGCCGCCGTTGACGAGGCCCTCTTCGACAGAGCCGGCAAGTTCCTGTCCACCCACACCGTTGAGCTCAGCCTGCCCGAGGAGGTCTCCCGCTCATTCGATGAGGGTAATTATTCAAAGAAAGAAAAACAAAACCCATAATCAAGAAGCCAACTAATTCAACTCTGAATTTTCAGCTCGTGGCAAGAAGAAGAAGATCATCAAGACCCTCGCCCCCCTCCTCCTCCTCCTGAAACTCAAGGCCATCGCTCTCATCCCAATTGCCCTCGGTGGCCTCGCCCTGCTCGCCTTCAAGGCCCTCGTCATCGGCAAGATCGCCCTCATCATCTCCGCTATCATCGCCATCCAGAAACTGTTGGCCGCCAAGGGTCACGGCCAGAGCTACGAGGTTGTTGCCCACCCAGCCCACCACGACGAGCATCACGACACCCACTGGGGCAGATCGGCCAGCGGCGCTGACCTCGCCTACAGCGCTTACAAGCCAGCCAACTAATTTTAATAATTTAATTTTGAGAAGGAGTTTCTTCAAATCGTTATGTTAACGCTCAACTTCAGTATCACTCACCGTTGCAAAAACAATACGAGACAAGACAAACACATAGAGCCAGTATAGACGACAATGTGGGAAGGGGGGGGACCACACGACATTCCAGACAGACACGGGCTCGATGGCCCAGCTGACGAGGTGCCATGTCTTCATTCACAGACAGACCCTAGACTAGATTAGTTTCCTCTCGACGAATACGCGACTGACGCCGACCCTTGACCGTACCTCCCAAGCTCGGACGCAATGACAGTGCCCGTGACGCCTGGACAACTGTTGGATAATCCCTCGATCACCTCGTGCAGCATCCCCGGGGTCCTCGGGATACAAATGACTTGGCACTGGATCCCGACAGCTTATCTTTGATATTTTTCCTTGAAGACGACATTGCTCGATCCATTGCTCAATTACCGAGACTCTTAGTCAGTATCTCGCACGTAACAGTTTTACTTTAATTTCATTTGCCCAATGATTGATTATTTATATCGACAGAATGCGTCGAATCACCATGTAACTTATATTTGTTATTTATGAATAAATAATTTTTATTTAAACACGCTAATTAATCATTCGCCTTTCACTCAACTCGGGCTGTTGTCTCTTTCACTTTTGTTTGACTGACATCAGCTACATGCAGAAGGATCAATTGGGCTCATTATCATGGCGAGACTAATTCCGTTGGCCGTCGGTTCTTTTTTTTTGCTGAAATTTGTCTTTATTGTAACAGGGATAATGCAGGAAGAGGAGATCTTCTTCGTTGAGTGCATCCGGTGTATCGGTACGAAAGTTAGGGCTCTGCCTGGGCGATACGAAACAAAAGCCATGATGTGTGTGTACAGGTACACTTTCGCTGTGATGATAAAAAGATCTGCCGAGTGAAACCGATTGTTCTCTCGTGTGTGAATTTTGCGAAAGCTATATAGATACCTCGAGCAGGTTGTAGGGTCGACAGTTTGTTACAGTCTTGTCCGAATACAGGTTCGGGGTCTCGGCGTTGAAAAATATTTACCAACGAAAAAAGAAATTGGACCGGTAAAAAAACAATGAAGCGCGCATTTCGTGATTTTCTCTTTCTTATTTGCCTCTCGACTGGTATTACGGTCATGATGGAGTCGAAGGACAGAGTAAACGAGCCTGACCTCGAACCCGAAAACCCAGCAAGTTTCACCGATGTATTCGCCAAGTGTCTCGCAAAAAAACTCCACGGAACATTTGAGTGCATTAATCGTGGTAGTCTCAGTGTACTCGGCGCGTTGAACGATAACGATCGTTTGGATTTTGGTGATGTTAAATTGGAGCGGAGTAATGGTCAGGGGAGAGATCTCCTGGATCTTGATTATGATCCCAAGGATTTTGGGAATGTTGTTAAGGCAGCGGCAAGATTGATGGAGCGGAGAAATTTAAAGTGGGATATGGGCAGTATTTATCCGGGTCTGCAGATGAGGGTTGGTCCGATGTTGAATGGAAATGGGGTCTTGGAATTTGTGGTTGACGAGAGATATGCAGGACATACGAATAGACAACTTGGAACGGGTAGAGTTATTTTTTACTATAAAGAACTGAAATACTTCTTTTTCATATTTCCTTTCTCGCTACAGTGTTGACAATTTTCGTTTGAATTTTCCGCGTGGAATCCCGGAAATTTTTATCATGTTTAATTTCGTTGTTTGCGTACAAAGCGGGTTCTCAACTGAGAATTTAAAACTCTTTGGTACATCACTTATAACGATAGGGATGGCCAGGTAGATGACCGGGGCCTCCCATTTCATCACCCTCCTTCCTTCCTAAAGGCAATTAATTTTTAAGGGGAGACTGCTATGAGTTTTAAGTCGCGGGCTATTGGAATGCGATTTCTCATACAATGAAGATCGATTATATGTATCTAAAAATGAATAATTAGTGGAAAAAAATTAATTGTTCATTGTTCATTTGCCCTGCAAACGCGTAAAATGTTAGAAACAGTCTAGAGACTCCAATTTTTGAGCTACAGAGGTTTCTTTTTTTTCAAAATCATTGAAAAAATGTGTACAATAACAATTACACATTAGTTTTTTGAAATCCAACACCTACACAGTTAATTTCGTTATTTTTTTAATAAAAAATTGCACCATTCACGTAAAATAGCTCGAAAACTGTTTCTAAAAGAATCAAGAATATATTTTAAATATTTTAAAGATAATTTTTCTACCTATTTGATATAAATGTTGCTAATTTTTATTTTAAACAAAACGAAATTAGCTGCGTAGGAGTCGAATTTCAAAAAAGTAATTCAGAATTATTATTGCACACATTTTTCCAAAAATAAAAAAAAAAGAAACCTTAGTAGCTCAAAAATTGGAGGCCCTGGGTTATTTTTAACACTTTAAGTGTATGTGGACCTCAAAAATCCTCAAATATAAATTTTATATTGAGGAGGGGTCTGTATTGTACATAAAGACCTTAATTTCCAGTGGAAGTTCAGGAAATCTCGTGATTGAAGCATCAAATATTCTATAGATTTTCAGTTTGCATTATCCGAAAATCAGTAAAATATTTGATTTTTCAGTTCAATTATTTCGCGAAAATTTCGAAAAATAGGGAAAATTGAAAATTCATATCATTTTGTTTCCGAATATTCACATTTCATTGAAAATTCACTCAAGCTGTGAGATTTCCGTCTCTCTTCCACTGAAAACTAAGAATTGTCTAGAATTCTAAATAAAACTTGAAATTTGATCACTATTTCCCCTCTAAATCGGATTCAATGTCACTTTCACGAGAATGACTACCAGATTTGCCACGAAATTCCAAAAAAATTTTCACAGTGTAGTCTTTCCCAATTAAAAATTACAAATGACTCGAGAAGAACAGGTTCCACTCTCTCCCAGGTCTGAAATTCAAATTTCATATGGGAAAACCTCTACAGGAAAAACGTGGAAGCTCGTCACTCAGTGGATAAGACTGCACACCTGTAGAGTTTCCCAGCGAGTTAATGTCAAGGTCTACCAGTTTGAGTAGTCCTCCACAAGCTGGCACCACGGTCAAGGCCATTGCCCGACGAACGTACTTCTTCGTCTCACCTGTCCCGCTTGTTCAAATTACAGGTAGAATGCTGGTGAGGAGTCTGCTGCTCCCCTTTCTCCTCGGCTTCAAGTTCAACCTGGCTTCCCTCATTCCCCTTGTGTTCGGAGTACTCCTGGTGGTCACGAAAAAGGCCCTGTTGTTGACGAAAATTGCCCTGCTGTTGAGTGGCCTCCTTGGATGGAATTCCCTGGTGTCATCCCCTGGCCTCGGTGGCCTTGGTGGCTCAGGCCCAGTACTGGCCCATTACGGTTACGGTGGTAATCACCACTTTGGCTTCGGTCACGGTGACCATGGCCATCAATTTGGCTACAGACCCTACAGAAATCAACCGACTGATTACGGGGGATACAACCAGCATGTGATTAGAGAAGTCGTCAATGTCTATGATCCGGAGGTAGATGTCACAGAAGATGAAGCCAACAATACCCCCAGGAGTGGTAAGAAATTCATCTGGGCCACACGAGACTGAAAACCGCCGGAATAATATCAAAAATCGTAACTGTGAAATGTCAAAGAATCTATTTATATAATTTAATTCTAGAATTGTAGTATTTAATGTAAGATTATCATAATAAACTTTATGGCATGCCGTGCAATAAGTCGAGTTTATCGCACGCCGCGCTCCGCGCGGTGTGACATAATAGTACATTAGAGTACAAGGGCACAAATTTCGTTTTCCTTTGAAAAAAAACAAAAAAAACTTAATCAAATAATCAAGTAAGGGAGTTTGACCCTCTTGACCCTCGTAATCTATTGTTCCTTGTTGTACCTTGTGACCCGTATGGCCCTTATGACCTTAAAGGTCCCTGGGGGCCGCAGGAGCACAAAGATCACCTCCGTTACCCCTCCTTGTAACATGAAATAAACTTAATCAAATAATCAAGTAAGGGAGTTTGACCCTCTTGACCCTCGTAATCTATTGTTCCTTGTTGTACCTTGTGACCCGTATGGCCCTTATGACCATACGTTATTATTTTAAGAATTCTTATTGAAATACATGAAGTACATTAGAGTACAAGGGCACAAATTTCATTTTCAACGAATGTGTAGTTTACAGGCCGAGCCGAAAGCGAGGTCTGTACACACATTCGTTGAAAACGAAATTTATTACCGAGTGCTCTATAATATTTTATGTCAAGTGGTGCAGAAGTCGAGTTTTGAGCAGGCTGCGCGAAGCGCAGCGTGCGATAAACTCGACTTATTGCACGGCGCGACATAAAATTTATAGATCACTTAGGCAAACCTCGTTTTCAACGAATGTGAGTACAAACCTCGACTTCGGCTCGACCTGTAAACTTCAGATTCGTCGAAAATGAAATTTGTGCCCTTGGACTCTAATATACTATTCTCATCATGTGCTGAATCTAAATACCGTGAAAGGCGAGACAATGATGAAAATAATGAATTAACCAGTTAGTAGCCGCGCTACGAGCCTTTCCCTCACAAAAATTTTCAGTCCATAGGAAATATACCCTAAAGGTGCAAATATTTTGCTGACATTTTTTAAATGCCTAAAGTAACTCTTCTAGTTCAGTCTGGTGGTAAAAGCCTTGGTAAAAATGGTAAAAGTCGTCTATCGGTCAGGGTTCAGTAGAAAAATAGTAATATTTCAGGGCGAGTGCCGTGCACTGATAGACCGACTCATTTATTCCGAACGAGATTCGTTAACTATTAACGAATGGTAGAGTTGAATATGACCAAATGAATTTTCGTTAATAGTTAACGTTAATAGTTAAATTGTTCACTTGAAAGGTGAAAATTGAGTCAGAGAAGCCTTCCCAAATGTGCATTTGTTAACTATTAACGAATGAACATTTGGTGAGACCGAATAGACCCTAGTCTCCAACCAAATCCATTCGTTAACAATAATTCATCCTTTCTATCAGTGTGGGGTTTTTCACTCGCGTGGAGTTGGTGTCCGCGCTTAAGACGACGACTGGCCAACCACGCGAGTAAAAAAACCCCATGGCATCAATTTGGCATTAACCGATAATCAATTTAAACCTCTTTGAATCATCTCATACATTATTACGCATGTTCACGTAGATGTACGGACTTCCCATTCGGCACCTCCCTCCACAAGGCAAAATTATTATTTATAACATTGAGATATCAAATTAAATTCAAAACAGTGGTAAGGCGTATATATCTGGCCCTACCAGCGCTCAGCGGTACCCAAAAAGGCCCACATTATGAAAATTCAAAGATGGTACATGAATTTGAAAAATAAATATGAAAATAAAATAATAGGAGAATGTAATATCTGTGGTCGCTGTTGTAAACTGAAACCGGAGATTCAACTAGCATGTGATCAGAGAAGTCAATGTCTATGATCGCGAGGTAGATGCCACAGAAGATGAAACCAACAACACCCGCAGGAGCGGCAAGAACTTCATCTGGGCCATACAAGACTGAAAACCACCGGAGTAATATCAACGATCATATCGGAGAAATGTCAAAGCATCTATATATATAATTTAATTCCACAATTGTAGTCTTCAATTTAAGATTATCATAATAAACTTGACCATCATGTGCTGAATCTAACTGCCATGAAAGACAGACAGCGAGACAATGATGAAAATAAAGAATTAAATAAAACTAGATTTTTACAACCGTCTAATTATCCCGTCTCAATGACCGACTTGATCACATTCTCTCCACAATTCCCAGCTAGTAATCCAATTTAAACAGTTGAAAAATGTAGATTGATCAGAATTGGGACAGATTTAACACTATCATGACTACAGTGGAAATGCAATTTCATACCCAGTGATATTGCTTCTCCCGTTCACTATCGTTTTCATGGGCCTACATCCTCAACACCGCAAGATCCTGCTTTCGCTAAAGAACACCGCTGTCCCTGGTTCTTCCGGCCCGGCTAACTGTAACCAATTGTACAAGGTATGTACTGATGGTGAATGCACAGCTAAGGCAGTGTTACTTTTAGCTGGGGATAATATACCACAGTTTAAACATGTATATGGCTTCATGTCCGGGAAGTATGTGATTCTCTGCCCAGCCATTAGACTAATGAATATGCCAAGGGTATCATCCACTGGGAAATGACCCTCTGTCATTATTTCCCAACGGTTGATTTGGGAATTTGTCCTACAATATTCAGCGGTTGAACAACAGGATGAAGAATAATTGAATCCTTTCGCCATGAAGTGTAGTGTAAAGGAGTTTTTATTTTTGTAATCATGACAAAAAATAAATGGGTTTATTTACTAGTGGGGAAAATAAGCAAATTTTTTACTTCATTTTGCAGCAGGGTAACATTGTCCGCGTTTAGGGTATTTTGAAGAAGTTTTCATCACTTGTGCGCAGAGTAAAATTTTACGCACAAGTGCACAAAATCCAACTTTCTACACACTGTAATGAAAAATAGGGATCGACACACGTAGGAAAAGTATTCTTTAACGAGTAATCCTTCAAGTATTCCTGAAAGTATTTTCCCAAAAGCATTCATTCCCGAAAAAACTCCAACAATCAGCCCCAAAAAAAACAAAAAGATAAGAAAAGAATGAATGATAGCATAATAAAACACACAGGGGGATTTACATTAAATTAAATTAAAGATGGGAATTTATATAGCGTTCCACATCTTCGCGACGTCATAGGAAATGATTGGATGGGATTTGGATGAGGTAGGAGGGTACCTGGATTATTCTCAGTATGAATAACTAGAAAATTTTTGCTGACAAAAATGGATAGTCCAGACCGGGGTTTAAACCCGGGACCTTCCGATTATGCATAACAAACCAATAAACACCAAATTGTAAGGTCATCAACATATTTACAAAAAAAGAAGATCATTAAATATATGTCACAACGAATCGAACAATATGAAATGCCGAATTCGAAAACAAATCCAAATATAAAATGTAAACCAATATTAATTCAAAATGATAGAATGTTGGCAAAGATTTTCAGATATTTATCAACGTCATCACGGTTGTAAGGCGAAGATCATAATCACGGTAAGCTTTTTCCCTCTTAACAGGGGAATCTGCGCTCTCAGCCCGTCTTTACCCAGACGGATAAAACAAAAATAACATAGAAACTGGCGCAATGAAAAAAATTATGGGACACAATTTTTGGCGGAACGATTTTCCGGAGAACAAGTATCCGGGTACCAAACTATTCAAGTCGATTTTGACTATTGCCGAGTTCTCAATAAATACCTCGGAATCTAAGGGAGACAGCAAAATTTTTGTTACGGCCTCTTTTGTAGCACTCAATTCGCTCTAAAAAAAGGTTCATACACAAATTTCGTTATCTCCCGTAGATTCGGAGATATTTCTCGAAAACTCGGCCAAGAGCTAAGTCGACTTAAACCGTTTCACGGCTTCGCCACTGAATTAATTATTACCAATAATACTAGACTGTCGATTGAGCACAAACTCAACCAGAATATTTATAAATTAGGCAATTTTACCGACCGATATATTTAAATTCTATATTACCCAAACGCTGTTTTCTCGGTCAGCCTTAGATGCTATGAAGGTATAAATTACATGGAAAGCAGGATGCTACATGCTATCCATCAACTCTCCGGACCTCTATATGAGGGAAATAATTGAATAATGCACAAGTAATGCATAAACAATGCACAAATTGAAAAATTCGGACGCCCGCGGATTTGAACCCAGGAGGGGTATGATCCTACATCTCCACGTTTGCCGGACGGATGCTCTGCCAATTCAACTACCGAGGCCTCCTCTCCTAATTATTTAATTATTTAATTATTTCCCTCATATAAAGGTCCATAAAGTTGATAGCATAGATAGCATCGCGTTTTCCATGTAGTTCATACCTCAATAACACCTAAAATTGACCGAGAAAATAGCTTTTGGGTAATATGGAATCAAAATATTTCTATATTTTTTTATTTTTGGTTCCATATGTATACGCTCTCGGGTTTTTACATTTTGTTCCCTTCCCTATCTGCGTTACCATGGGCCGACTTACTTTATCCCCAACTGCACCCCATTGGGGGTTGGACTGCCAGGGAAACCATGGAAAAACCTCAGTCGTGCAGCCGACCGATAATGCAGGGATTCCACTGTGTCCATTGGTCACACTGACTCAATGGGCACAGTGGTTCTCTACATTCGTGCCTAGCGACTGTAGTCCCACGCGGTTAGGTGAGCCTAAGCGGACACCCATCCAAGTACTGGGCAGACTGAACGCTGCTTAGCTTGGATGATCGCCGGAGCCACACACTCCCCGCGTGACCACTACAGCCACTAAATATTTCTATATTGTATTATTTATTTTATTTTCACCTGCATACCCTCTCGGGTTTTTACATTTTGTTCCCTTTCCCAATCAAAATATTTCTATTTATTTCAACTTCCCTTTACAATTTATTTGATTTCAATCTTCAACATTTGAGTTATGTTTCTACCACTTTATCTGCGGAGAATATCGCGCTAAATTAAAAATAGAAAAAATCTTCCAGTAGAAAAGTATGTGAATCACCGCAATTATTTTCTCTAACGGAACATTTCGGTAGCATACCCGGCAAAATCCGTCTTAATAATTGATCATCACAAAGGAACCCAAGAATTGAATTCTCCATCATCATTGTTCCCCCTCGACAATGGAATCAGCAATTACGAATAAAGTATCGTCGAATGTGGACTATTAATACAATAAGAACAAAAGGGATAATGGTCTTGGGTATTAAAACACAAAAGAAATGGAGACGGTAGGAGTCCAGATGATTCACTCGACCTAATCGTACTGTTCCAAAAAGCGTAAGCCGCGTATGAAACGGTTTGGCGCGCGAATGAGGCAATATTCGAGGATCGTTGGACAAGAGGGTCAGAGGGATACTTGCTCGAGAGCCTGTACGACATTGTTTTGGTTGAGGTGTGCTCTCGCCGAGGCGTTAAACAGCGCGTGGTGTACGAAGTAAGAGGTAGGGAATACGTTGTTATGTACATTGAGCGTCATCCGAATGGGCATACTGTTGTTGCGTACGTAGGGGAAAAAAAAGTTTTTCAACTGAAAAAGGAAGGCAGGTGGTAGGAAGGATACCTCGGTTTATATCAGGTATAAAAGAGTTGTTGTAACGGAGTGATCTGGTTAGTACGTTAAGAGATAGTCAAGTAGTAGGAAGTACACATCTAACTTGTTGAGTGTTTGAGTTGTAAGGATAACATCAAGATCATTGATATGAGGGAGATTGGATTACTGTGGGTCACATTTCTGGCGTTACTGGTGACTGGTACCAGTGCTGATTACACGAAATTGTTCGAGCGATGCACTAATGAGAAGAACACGTTTGACTGTTTGAAAAGACGGGCTATTGATGTGCTGAGTCAAGCTATCAAGGATGACTCGATTTATGTGGTGAATGACTATGTGTCCATTGCCAAGGATCCTGCGGCAGCCAGGGAGCAACGATCGTCGAGTGAGAACACAACAGCTCTCAGTTTGGACGAGCAGCTGGAGAAAAAGTTCAATGATTACTTGTCATCGAGAAGCATCAAACTCACAATTCCTGGTGACGCGATTCAGGGGCGAAAGAAGAAGGACAAGGGAGGCATGGGAGGCGCTCTGATGATGGGAGGTCTGGCAATGGCAGGTAAGATAAATGATAACGGTAACCGTGATTTCAGTTGATCGGGGACAAATTGATTTAATTGGTTAATTCGCAGGTGTAATGGCGCAGTTGGCGTTTGGAAAGATTGCTTTTCTCGCGGGTACGGCTCTGCTAACAGCCAAGATTGCACTCGTGTTGAGTGCCATTATCGGATTGAAGAAACTCGTATCAAGTAGCGGCGGAGGTCATGAAGTCATCTACGCGACCGCCTCGGAACCACATGGAGGATTCGGTGGTGGCGGCTACGGGGGCTGGCAGAGGTCTATTAATTCAGTGCCCTCAACGTGAGGTCTTCACGTCGCATCATGATTTTACAGAAATGAAGCTCAATCAATAATTTATGATTCATGTATTTATCTATTTATTTATTTATTTATACGTTCTGTCATTAAAGATTAAATCAAACCTCATGTGCTTGGCTTTAATTCTTTGGCGAATGCCGAAAGGCTTGGTAATTTCGAGACTCGCAATTGCTAGTTTTTGTGAGAAGCTGTTTAAGGATTTAATTGAATGTCTTTCACGTTTATTTGATAGCATCGCGGATTCTATTCAACAGGACTTTCACCAATGTGTATGCCTTGGATGAAGGGATTTATGGGGGTCATCAGGTCAGACTGGTGGAGCGGTTCAATTAGAAGGCAAATTAGAGGGAAAATTACCCATTTTTTGAATTGTCATATAATAAATAATAAGAGATAATGTATAAATGCGTTCGGCACGGGGAACATGAGTGAACGTGAGTTTCAAATCTACGGCTCATTTTACAGTCGTTCATTTTATTGAAGAATAAGGAGAGAATAAGAAGTGGAGATTGATCGTCATTAAAAGTTGGATACGTTTTTATTGAACGATTTATATAAATAGTAGTAAATTAACATGGATATATAAAAATTGTACAGTACAGCGCTCGGGTTAGTTATCGAGTAATTATCATCGTGCAAATCTTCTTCGTCGATGCCCCTCAAATCCATCACCGTGATCGTAATCTACACTAGAGCTGTGGGTCTGATGATAACTGTGCTGAGGATGTTTTATTATCTCCACTGACGTCTTGTCGTTGTGTTCTGAAAGAAATAATGAATTTGGGAATTAGTGGAGTGTCTTGACACGATTTCTGGATCAATACATTCAGTGGCGAGAGGAGGGTGGGTAGGGGGGTGGGGGGGAATGTGCTACGCTTGAACGTCTGAAAATGTTTCATCGATTTGTCCGATAGGAGAATTTCACGATAAATAGTGCTGAAATTTCAACAGAAATGATAGCTGATGAAATCGGGTTCTGCATTGTTAGAATAAAATTGAAATTTCATGAACAGTCGACTAGTAATTTTCAGGAGGTCGCCATTGAATGCGATTTAAGCGGAATTTCACTGATTATTTCCCCCGTCATCCTTCCAAACAATAGAATTGCGGTATTCGACGCCTCGTGGACCAATAAGAAGAGAAACATCGACAATTTCCCGTCGTTCGGTAATTTTTGCTTTGACAAGCAGAATAACAAACACTTCGCGAATGTACCACGATGACACCGAATACCGCAATTCTATTTATCGAAATGGTAATGTGGGAAATAATCGACAAATACCCCTCGAGCTTCAAAATTAAACGGATATTTCCCTCAAGCTTCCCTGCAAACAAACGATCATGCCAAATTTTGAACAAAAAAACCCTCGCGCAAGTGCAGGGAATTTTTGAAGTTGGAAATCTTGATACACCCATTTGTTTGCAACGAATCCATCGGAAAATGCCCGATAATTTTGAAGCTCTTGGGGTATTACTACCGAAAAATCAATGAAATTACAAATTTATGAACAGCATTGATATCAGAATTCTTTATCCTGTTTGAATTTTCAACAAAATTATGAATTTGCAGTGTCGAATTACGATGAACTTACAATTAATTGAAAATTCAAGATCATATTTACCAGAATTCTCTCAATTTCTACTAATTTTCCGCGAATAATTGAACGAAAATTTACAGTTTTCATTGATTTCTCCACAAAATTATAAATTTTCGATGATGAAATTCTTTGAAATTTCGGTGGAACTAAAATTTGACAAAATTTCCAAAAAAGTGTACCCGAATTTTCAGCCAAAATTTTTTAACAGTTTATGACTTTAATACAGATTTTAATGATTTTTGTTATTAATAGAGGTTTGTTGAATTTTTTTCATGGAAAATGTGAAAGCTTTCTTTAGGGTCATTGAAATATCGAATTATAGAAATGGAATATGGACAAATCTATGAAAATAAACGTGACCTCTAGACACAATTTGTTGGCATACATATCGTCGTTGTAGAGCCAAAGGGGCGTAACAGTTATGCTTACACACACCACTTATACCTCTTCGGCTATACCACGACGATATGTTTATACAGACAAATAAAAGTTTCAGTTTTCCGGCATCAGCGGCACTCTAAAATTAAACGAATAACAAATCACGAGATCAAGTGACTGTGCCACTAATTTCCAGTACCGGAAATCCAAAAGCTTTCGAATTTCATCTCTAAATTTCAGTGATGGAATCCCCGACATTCAGAGTAATTCAGTAGCGAAGTGGTAAAACGGTATAAGTTAATTTTGACTATTGGCCAGTTTTCGATGAATATCTCGGAATCTAAGGGAGATAGCAAAATCTTTATTATAACATTTTTTGTAGAGCCGATTGCCAGCTACAACAAATGTAATTACGAAAATTTCGCCATCTCCCTTAGATTCGGAAATATTCCTCAAAAACTCAACAAAAACTCGACTTAAACCGTTTTATCACTTCGCTGCTCAATTGCACTCAGTGTCAGGGTAAATAATTTCAAATCAAGGGTAAATGATTTCTTAAACTTTTTTCCTCGTGGGTAAAAATTGTGCACAGATGAAATAATTCACAAATCCATCAACCCAACTAATGAATTATCTTGATAATGAGATTGATAATTTCATGAGATCATAAAAATACTCATCCTTTGTTAACAACAAAGACTCATCTACGAGATCAATGGTCCATTCCCATAAATACCCAAACTGACTCATTACTCTATCAAATCCGGGAACAATCCAAGGATTCTCTCGAACGGGAAAATTCAAATTGAATTAGAATTTAGAGAGAAAAATCCTGCACCGCCCAGTCGGGATTCGAACCCGGATCTCCCAGTTACGCGCTGGGCACTCTCTCAACTAAGCTACCGGGAACTACGTAAATTTTCACTCTAAATTCGCCTTAAAACATCGCCTAACCACCTTTAGGTATTAAATATTCAAATTGAATTAGAATTCAGAGGGCAAAAATCCCACACGGCACAGCCGGGATTCGAATCCGGATCTCCCAGTTCCGCGCTGGGCACTCTCCCAACTAAACCACCTAGAAATTAAGGATAAATAATTCCTAAAACTTTGTTCCTAGTCGATAAAAATTTCGCATAGATGAAGTACTTCACAAACCCATTAACCCAGATATTGAATTCAGTAGCGAAGTGGTAAAACGGTACAAGTTAATTTTGACTATTGGCCAGTTTTCAATGAATATCTTGGAATCTAAGGGAGATAGCAAAATTGTTGTTATAACCTTTTTTATAGAGCCGATTAAGAGCTGCAACAAATGTAACTACGAAAATTTCGCTATTTCTCTTAGATTCGGAAATATTCTTCGAAAACTCAATTGGAAGATAAGTCGACTTAAACCGTTTTACCACTTCGCTACTGAATTATCTTGATAATGAGATTGGTAATTTCGTGAGATCATTAAAATACTCATCCTTTGTGGACTACAATGGCTCATCTATAAGATCAATGGCCATCCTTATAAATACAAAAACTGAGTCATTACTGTATTAAATCCGGGGACAATTCAAGGTTTCCCTCGAACGGTACATTACCAAGTGCTTTCTTTAAAGCAACAGCAGCCGCCAATGCCAGAGCAACCTTGGCGACGATCAGTGCTTTGCCAGCAAGCAGAGCAACAGCGTGTAGCATAACATACATCAGCGTGGCTTTAGCTGCTCCAGCCATGATGATAAAGTACTTTCCCATCCCCTTTTTCTTCCCCTTCTTGCCACGAGCTAAAACAAACAAGGCACAGTGACAACCACCGCAGCATAAAGTGCATTCAGACGTGAACAAGCCCGCAACCCAAATCTCAAATAAATTTGACTGAGTCGTGCAGAGAAGACATCCCCAGCTTTCACTGTACCACTGGGGCGAAAAGTAATGAATCGTAGGAGAATACATACTTAAGGATATCCGAGTATCTTTTACAGTTTGGTACAGACCACACTGTAGAATCGACAATTTTCAATCATCAAATTTGTCAATTAAATTGCGTGAGAAAAATTTGAAAGAAAATCATGAATATTCGGGATCATAAAATTTCCATTTCGCACAGAATTATTATTTTTTTAAATTGGTTGTTTATAAATAAATAATTCAAATTGTTCAAACTTTCAGAAACTGTATTTTTTTAGGCATGAAGAAACTTCTAGTAACATTCAAAAGTGAATAAATTTGTTGCGATTCCGAAAAATCATTTTTATGGTGGAAAATTGATTGTTCATAAGTTGTTTATTCAAATTAGGTTTTATGAACCATTATTAACACATTCCTCAATTTGGGGAAACAAATTGATAAAGTTTTCCAAAGAATAAATTATTTTGTAGAAAATGTCTCTAATTTTCCAAATTGAAAGTTTTTAATTATTTCATGAATGTTCCTCTAAAAATAAACGTTCCAATTTTTTCATATTACAAATTTTTTTTCTAACGGTTCAATATTGAAATTCAAATCCAAACCTTCAAGTTTGAATAATAAAATCATTTTAAAATGTCCGAAAACTTAGGGTCAAATGGGCTGGAATGAAAGCTCTGATGTTAAACTACAAAAGTAGAATAGCATTTCACTGGAGAAAAAATGGCCAAACTACTTGGATATCCTTAATATGATATTTTCTTTAATGGATAAAAGAAGAGTTCCATAGAAATTGTAGATTTGTTACCTTGCGATATTTTATTCATTTTATTTATCGATATTGATAACATTTTTTACACAAAATTCCGATATTTAAATATTATAAATAATTATACCCTTTGAATCAACATTCATCAAGACAAAATATTTTTCAAATTAATAATTAATACGATTGCTTTACACTTCAAAACGACAAACTACTGAGGAAAATAATTTGCTGACCGGTCATGTCGGGGGTTGAAGTGTAAAAGAGCGAGGTTTCTCGCGTGGGGTACGGAGCGATTAAATCATTTCAATATTTTCGAGATCGAATAGCGCATGACATTAACCCGTCAGTTGGCGCGATATCCAAGTACTTTGGCTATTTTTTCTCCAGTGAAATTCTCCTCTACTTTGTAATTGAACATCAGAGCTTTCATTTGAGCCCCATTTGCCCCTAATTTTCCGGACATTTTAAAATTATTTTATTATTCAAATTGCAGTTCTGAATTTGAATCTCGATATTGAACCGTTCGAAAACATTTTAAAAATCCGAAAAAAATTAGAAGTTTTATATTTAGAGGAAGAAATAATTAAAAAATTACAACTTTTTAAAATTACGCGCACTTTCTATACAGAATTTATAAAGAATCAGTGTTCCACCCTAAAGATCATTTGTTCGAAATCCTCAAAAATTGAGTCATATTAAAAAATTAACCAGAACTCGATATCATGCTTAAAAAAAATAAGGTTTCCGAAAGTTTAACCAATTTCAATTATTTATCCATAAACAACGAATGTTTTAAAAAATAATAATTTTCCACAAAATGTAATTTGAATGACGCTGAATATTCATGATTTGTTCCAAATTTTTCCCACGCAGTTTACTTGACAAATTTGATGATTGAAAATGGTTGAATCTGTAGTGTAGTCTCCCCAAAACTGTAAAAGACACTTGGATATCCTTAAAACAACTTCAACTCATAACAGAATTTCGGTACTCCTACCTTCATCGCCGATACTGTCATCAAACAAATCCGCAAAGTTCCAAGATTTCTCTTCCTCCTGAATTGCCCCAGTATGTCCTCCAATCAACGATGTATCATTTTTTTCCAATACCGAACGACACTCTGGTGACTCTGCATGACTACCAGCACAATCAATTGTCACTGTATTATCATCAATCAATGATCTCGGATAACGGCGGAACGTCGGCTCAGCGGTGTTAACCACGAAATTGAGCCCAATGATGATGAGCACAATAACGAAGAGCCGTCGAAGCATCTTCGACAAAGACTAACCGTCTGATACACCGGGTCTCAGCATTTTTATAAAGATCCCAGGTGTAATTATTTACAAGTGCCCGAGAACTCTTGTTACACCATACAGAGCGTGAATGCACCTATGGATGCATTAAACACGTAATCATTGCTTCGTTGCCCATTACTTCCGTTTCTGCTTTGATACCGCGTATAAACACTGGCTTGGCTATAGATTCACATAATTATTATTGTATTCAGAGTAGCCGGCGTGCGGAGTGTAGGGAGAGGTTCATTTTGTTTACTAGGTGAGTTTTTCCCTTCTTCTGTAGTTGTTTTTTAACGAGACCAATATTAAGTGATACTCGTTCCACACTGCGGATGGACATCTGTATCACTGGAACGGGGGATTCTATTGGTTCGGAGTTTGCTAATGTTCTTCATTTTTTTGCTCATTGCGTGGGTGATGAGGAGGGATTAATTCGAAAGAAAGCAAAATGGCGAGAATTAATGATAGAGAGTTCTTTTTTCAGCTAGACATGCTTTAGCAGTTGGATTAATCCCTTGCGATTTCTAGAAATCGAGGAAAGAAAATTAATTGTAGTGGGTGAATATGAGAAATAAACTCTGCTAAAGGAGATTTGGGTTGTTGCACGCTATTTTTTGTGGGGAATCAAAGGATGAAATGTGGAAATCGGTAAAAAACATAATGGATTATTTACTTTGCTCTCGATGAAATACTTCAGCTAAGTATTTACATTTTATGTGTAATGTAGAAAAAGCGAATGAATATCTAGTTATAAATTTATGTGTTGGATAATAGATCGATTGGAAGCAATTGATCGATTCTGAGTTACAAAGATTCCCTGAGCAGAAATCCAATTACAGAACTTGCGTTACTACCAATATTATTATAAATTTGATTGTAATTTATTTTATTATTTATTTCAAATTCCCAATGCAATATATTCGTTACGCTTTGAAATACAAGTTTCTAATAAATAAATCATAACTCAAATTGATTTTTCCGGATAATAAACAAGTCTGTAAAATCTTATCCAAATGTACAATAATTACCTACTAATTGCTAAATAAAAATCTTCTTAATTTCCTCTGATCCGTCGCCCGGTTTAATTGTAATTTATTAATTATTAATGTCAAAATTTAAATTCAATGTATTCATCATTTTTTGTAATATTGAATTTCATTTGTTCTCATTTTGTTAATTAATTTATTCGTTCATTTGTTTTTTGTGTCAAAGATGAAAACGAATTTCATGAAATTGAAACTTTTTATCATTTCGAAACAACGATGACAAATCAAAAATTGAACATTTTTTATCACCCATAAGTAATCATAAATCCTTAATTATTAATTAAAATATAGCAATACAGGACTGATATTTGTCATTGCATTTCCATCAAATTTTCCTGTAAAATAATTCGGTCAAAATTCAAGAAACATGGCTGTGAGCAAAAGGATATTTCACAGGTAATTGCCTGTGTGGACTTACATACGAGAGTTCAACACAGTTATGCACCTCAAGTTCCTCATGAATAAACCACAACTCTAATTGATTTTTCCGGGCAATAAAAAAATCTGACAAATCGTATCCAAATGTACAATAATTACCTACTAATTACATGCTGAATAAAAATCTGCTAAATTTCCTCTCATCCCCTGCACGGTGAGTTTTATCGGCACTTGAGCGACAGTAAACCGGCGAAACGAGGCGCGATGTGTCAAACACGCGAGTATTTCCCGGAACGAGTTGACAATTTCTTGGAACAATGAATTTCCGCGATCTGTCTATTGCATTTGCAAGAAAATAGCAGTGTGTCCTCCCACGAGATAGACAGACGGGTGCAGAAAGTGGATAATGGGGTCTGAAAAATATTGGATATTTTTCGCACGATTTTGTGGGCCACGGGGACGATCGAGCATTTCATGACTATTGGAAAGGTCGGTATGAATTCCAACCTGTGGATGGGTAAATGACAGATATGATATATACATTTGCATAAACAAAGTGCATCTAACGCTTTAGGTAATGCACATGCACATCCTCGGGAATTCTGCATTCGTCGAAGCTTCCTAGATCTATCCATAATATTTACCGTATTATCTTCACGACTCTGTTATGCTGCAGCTGTAAAATTCTTTAAAATCCTCCATCCATATACGTACGACATGATTTTTAAGACGTATAACTTATTCAATTTATTTTTACCTGTGGTTAATGAACATTTCTGGCTTTGCACTTGAGGACCTCTCGTTCCTAACTGTACGTGTGATGATTTCTATGAGTCATTGGAAAAAGTGATTCAAGTCTTCCATTTTCATTATTCTTTGATATTCATGACTGTTGGGAGAAAATGGAAATTCCATGGAATTTTTTGGTTAGTGGTCATTTTCAGGAGAACTAAATTGAATTCGATTTAAGGGGAAAAAGTCAATGGAATTTCAAGTTTCGCCGCGAATTCCAGTAAAGTTCCGATTTTTTAGCGACAGGAAAATGAATTTTCAAGTGAAAATGGATTTTCATTGCCAAATTCCCTCGAATTTTTAAAAAATTCCGTTATAATTCTTCGAACTTCAGAATTTTTCGAAGGAATTCCCTGAAAATTCAAAGAAATCTGGAATTTAGGAGCGAAGTGGTAAAACGGTACAAGTCAATTTCGACTATTGACCAGTCTTCAATAAATATCTCGAAACCTAAGGGAGATAGCAAAACTTTTGTTATAACCTTTTTTGTAGAGCCGATTGAGTGCTACAACAAATGCAGTTACGAAAATTTCGCTATCCCCCTTAGATTCGGAAATATTCGTCAAAAACTCAACTGGGAGATAAGTCGACTTAGACCGTTTTCCCACTTCGCTACTGAATTCAAGGAGGGATTTCGCTGAATTGTCCACTTCTCTTCTATACAGAGAACACTTCTTCCCTTCGTGATGAGCCAAAACAGATCACAATTCACGAAATTCTTTCAAAGTTATAAATATCGAAATCAAAACTCAAAAGTGTTAATTTCGGTCCACTCGCCCCTCAAGTATCAAAAGCAGAAGAGAAGTCCAATGCAATTTCTAAGCGAGTCCCCGAGGCATTGAGATTCTTTCCCTCCCCAAGTGACAAGCCTCCTGTGCACAATAGTCACCTCTGCTAAAACAATCCGTTATCCATGCGAATATCGAAAAATAATTCTCCTCAATTCACCGTGATTTTGCTCGCATACTGGCACCTTCCGGATGTAGCACGCTGGTGTTAATGGTTACCAACGTTGGCTTCCATGTCCCGGTGGCTCAATTCTATCTCGCTATTCCATGGGATGATGCGCGCAAAGTAGGTGAAAAGAGCGCAGGGATTGTTACTTGCATTCGTATACACACAGTGACTCGATGTGCACATGATTGGGCCATTTGGTGCGTTGTTGTCGTTGGGCATTAGAGATGCGCTTTAACCTCGATTGTGTGTAGAGAGGAAATGAGTGAGCACCGAGGCAAAGGATAAAAACCCATCGGGCAAATGCAAACCTCCCGAGAGCCCTCATCTCCTCTTTTATTCTCCTGCGTTTATCCTGTTCGTTTGGTCTCGGTCACTGGGTATGTGCGGTACGGGAGGTGAATACACATGAGTAGATAGTGAGAGACAAGAGCAGGCGATACTGCCGGAGATGCTAATGCGTCGAGATTCTACCTTCGACCCTCAAGCCGGGTAAAAGTTCCGCGGAGTTCGTTAATCGATGCTGGGTTAATGAAGAGTGGATATTAGTTACGGACGTCATCATTATCCATTTGGTTCTTTATCTAATTAGACACTCGGTTCATTGATTATTCGATTCATTCATATCGATGGGAACAATTTAGGTTCTGCAGACGGTGACAAAACTTTAGAGGGAAAGAAATAGTATATTACGCAATAAGTGCGTAATGGGTTTTTTGGCTCGTGGGAAGTTGTAAAACGAGCCGAAGGCGAGTTTTACAATCCCACGAGTCAAAAAACACCATTACGCACGAGTTTCGTATTTGTATATTTCGTAACGAGTGCAAAAAAGTGTTTTTTGGCGAGTAGGAGGTTTAATATAATCCCACGAGCTAAAAAACATTTTTTCACGAGTTACGAACAATATTTTTCATCACAATGTGGCGGAAATTGCACAGCGTGATGAAAACTATTTTATGTCATAGGGCCCAGAATCCGCGATTTTACCGAGCGAAGCGAAAAAAAAAAAATTTCAAAATAGAATTGAAATTTACAGAGAAAAAATTTTGATTCGCCCAGCCGGGATTCGAACCCGGGTCTCCCAGTTACGCGCCGGGCACTCTTACCGACTAAGCTACTGGGAACCACGGAAATTCTCACTCCACATTCAACATCCGCGATTTTACCGAGCGAAGCGAGGTTAGAATCGCGTGATTCTGGGCACNAGAGAAAAAATTCCGATTCGCCCAGCCGGGATTCGAACCCGGGTCTCCCAGTTACGCGCCGGGCACTCTTACCGACTAAGCTACTGGGAACCACGGAAATTCTCACTCCACATTCAACATCCGCGATTTTACCGAGCGAAGCGAGGTTAGAATCGCGTGATTCTGGGCACCTATGACATAAAAGTGAATTTTAGGAATATGTCAGTGATTTTTAGGAATGTACACTGTTAGAAATTTTTTGAGAATTCATGGAAGATATTGGTAAATCTCGTGGCAGTGACATTGAATCGAATTTAGGGGAAAATAGGTTGTGAAAATTTAAGTGTTCGGTAGAGATCGCGGAAATTCATGAGTTTTCAGTGGGAGTGAGATGGAAATTTTACAACTTGATTGAATTTTCAGTGGAACATGAATATTTAGAAGCAAAATGACATGAATTTTCAATTTTTTCCTGAATTTTCATAATTTTTCTGACTTTTTACAGAATAATTGAACTGAAAAATCAAGTATTTTGTTGATTTCCAGATCATTTGAACAGAAAATCAATGGAATGTTTCATTTTTCAATGAGTAGATTTTCTGAAATTTCCGTGGAACTTAAACACGATAAAAATTTCTGGAATTTGGTATTTTGGAAAATTTTTAACAGTGTATGGCCAATTATTGGTGATGCTCGACATTGATTAGAATAACCCTGACCATCAGTGATTTCTATCACTGAAATTGAAACCGAAATTACGTCAAAATTACGTGGTTTTCATTTTCATATATCGCTACAGATGCGCAGAAATCACTGTTCTCCTCGCGAATTTATAAAGAGCAAATTTTTAAACGAGCGGTCATCCTTCTCTTGTAAAAATTATATTTCGATCATCAATATTTCCACAACTCAAAAGGGAGAATTTCATTTTTGCTTCAGGTTTTTTCCGCGTTTTTATGAAAATCTTCCCGCAGGAACATTTTACATCACTTTTACGGTTTGTCACGTACATTTTCCTGATGTTTTTCCTCCGCGTAGAATCCTGAAAATTAGAGATGGGTTCCTGGAAATCAATGACGATGTCACTGAAAATTCGCGTTGAATTTCCCAATCGCGAATCCCTAAAAAACAGGAATACATTCTGAAAAATTAGGGATGTACATATAATTGAAAAACAAAACTTTTTTGCCCTATGTTCAAGAAAAATGTACAAATGAGACGAAATGCTCTTCCGGAAATTTCTACGCAAAAACACGGAAAAAATGTGCGACTAAAAATTAATTCTTCATCTTAAGTTCTGGAAATTTTACGGATTAAAGCAGCATTTTACTCATCGAATTGGTCAATGCCATATGTGATTGTGGGTAATTACAACCCTCGTATTTGGCTCGGGCTGCAAATATCACAATCGCTGAAAACGTCGTTTATCACGAGTTATGTTAAATTTTTTTGTTCCTAAATCGGCAATTTACGCACGTGAAGCGTGTGTAGAGTGCCGGTTCACAGACAGGCGTGCTACAAAGTAATGTTACGTGACACTCCATAAAAATTCGCACGAAGAGCAATAATTCCTACGAAGCATTACAATTATGCCTCACAACATAATTTTTAAGTGATTTCCATGGTACTTCACGTATGAAAAAATTCAGTAGATGAAGTTAGTGAATTCGTTAAAAACATCTGTTAGAATTCTCTAGAAATTCGGTTGGAATTCTATTAAAATTCTAGGGAATTCTCGCTAAAATTCTACTTGTTTTTACGCTGATTCTATAAGATATTTGATATTTGATAGGAAGAAGTCAATAGATTTCGATTTTTCAATATGAATATTCTCTTGTAATTTTTTCTATAAGAATACTTGGGCATGATTTTTCCAAGTTTCTTCACTCGAATCCTGTAATGCAAAACAGAACAAAATATAGCGGAAAAAACATAGAAAATCCGTGTCCAATAATTTTAATAGAGAAAATCTGAAGACAAAAATTCAAACAGAAAAATCAAAATCTATTGATTTTTTCCTATCAAATGTCTAGTAGAATCTGTGCAAAACAAATAGAATTTTAACGAGAATTCCCTAGAATATTAATAGAATTTCCATAAATTTCTAGAGAATTACAATAAAATTTTCTAGCGAATTCGCTAAGGTTCTCTATTAAATTTTTTCATACGTGTCTTTCCGCAAATTATTCTCCGCGCATGGAAGTTCGTTTCTCCATCGCAAAATGGGATAAAAATCATTAGATCCCCATTCTTTATCCTGAAATAACGATGAAACTGCGAAATAACTCACCAAGAACAATAACCATGAATCAATCAATGAAAATGTCCACAGAACGATCCGATCAATTCCTCAAACTCCCGCAGAACAATAGCCACATCACCCAGAAGTTTAAATCCGCAACAATGTACCGTTCCGAATACTCACCCGATAAACCAACGACGAGTGCTGAATTCACCTGTTTGGCCTTGACTGCACGTCTCCAGTGAAATTACCATTGAAATAATCGCGGGATTTCACGACGAGGAAAAGAAAAAAGAATGAGTCCTTTCAAAAGGAATAGAAAACCAACAAGTTTTGAGAATTGAAAGTAATAAAAGTGAACATCTGCTGGATTATTCCCAACAAGAGATTTCTGAGAAAGATTTGAAGAAGTACGACTCTCGGATGGAATTAAAATGAATAATACAAATATCATGAAAACTGTCGGTGACCGAACAGCACCATTAAAGTATATCCCAAGACAATACCACCCAATGAGTGAAAATTATTGAGTTTTTCATTCCTCATATGTTGTTGATGAAGGCAACAATAAATGTTTGAATTAAATAAAAAGTTATTTCACGAAATTTATATTTTTTTAAGTTGAATATCGCAGAACCGATGTACTAGAAACTTTTACAAGAAATCCACCGTATTCGGAATTTATCAATCTACCATGAATGCATTTTTTAACAACATCGTAAGAACCGTTTTCTCATAAAATGAAAGAATAGAGTTCGGGGGGAATCCATAAGCCGCGTTTGGCCTATGCCTCGTGTGTCAGAAGCCCGCATTTCATTATTTATCTCCTAAACTGTGTAACACAGCTTGATAAAATTTTTTTCTATAGCTGGGGAATATTATAAACATTAGCTATGAAAAATGTGGGGACAAAGCTAAGAAAAATCGGTTTTCTAGGGATATACCTTGACCCTTAAGTGACCATCGTGAGGGAATCCTCGCTGAACTATGCGCAACCTCTAGGGCATCATTGTAGAGCGAGTGAGATGCTAAAAAAGTGCGACCACTTAACGGTTAAGCATATCCATTAAGTAGGTATCTTTTACACTGTGATACAAACCAAATTATAGTTTTCTCTAGTTTATTCATCCAATATGCATGACCTCTCGGCCTTTTACATTTTTGCACCCCTCCCAAGAAAGTACAGTGTTAGAAAAAATGATAAAATGGTAGTAATAACATCTAGATAAGACATTTTGTTATCTCAATCTTAAAGTTAATAAAAAATTTGGGTAGTACATCAAACCATATTATTAGTGATGCCGTCGAGACTACACGATAAATTTTTTGGATAGATCATCATTGTCTGAAAAAACATCAAAAGTTTTGGAATCGTTGCAATCTCGAAAGACATTGGATCGATATATCGTTACGATATATCGACGATATAAAAACAGAAAAAAACGAAAAAGTCGAGACCCAGGCGAGATAACTCCTCCCAAAATCCTGACGAAATGCACCGATCCCATGTTTTTCGAGATCGCGACGGTTCCAAAACTTTCGATGTTTTTTCTGATCGGGATGATCTATCCAAAAATTTTATCGTGTAATCTCGACGAGATCACTACATATTATAGATTCAACCATTTTAAATCATCAAATTTGTTAACTGAATTGTGTGAGAAACATTTGAAAGAAAATCATGCGTATTCAGCGTCATTCAAAGTATATTTTGCACATAATTTTTATTTTTTTTTAATATCCGCTATTTATACATAAGTAATTAAAATTGTTTAAACCTTCGAAAACCTTATTTTTTGAGGCATGAAATTGATTTCTGGTAAAATTCTAAATCTGACTAAATTTGCTTCTATTCCGGACAATTTTTATGGTGGAAAATTGATTGTTTATAAATTATTCATAGAAAATGCTCAAAAGTAAATTATCTCTTTTTTTCAGATTCTTAAAAAGTTTTCTAACGCTTCAACATCAAACTTAAAATTCAGACCTGCAAATCTGAAATAATAAAATCATTCTAAAACGTCCGTAAACTCGGGATCAAATGGGTCTCAAATGAAATCTCCAATATTCAACTCCAAAAGTAGAAAATCATTTTACTGGAGAAAATCCATCCAAAGTACAATCCTCAAACCCCGCACCGAGCCTTCCGGGCTCCCCACGCACCAGTAAAAAGAGGACCTCAGAAGTCCCCCATAGATTGATTATCGAGGAATGTGCATAAACTGTACATTTTCACCCACACAGTGTAGCTCCCCCCGCCGCCAGCTACTCGTGCATCTTCCCATTGAAGAAGAGAGTAACGCCACGACTGATCTAGTTTCCACTTCCCTGTGTAGCCCAAAGGTCATCCTCTTGGGTCACGATGCCAGCCTCTTCGCCAATCGCCGATCTGCAGCTCCCTGTGCCCAACAGTCTCAATCCAATCAATTCAATTCGCAATTCAATTGGTCGTCTCTCTTCCTCCCTGACATCAATGGGCGCAAACCTCCCCTCGTTTTCTCCGTAACTACAGACCGCGTACCTGTCGTATGCCAAGGTCCCTCGATTTTTGCAAGCCATTTTCTCGTCCCCCTCCACCGACTTGACGTACAATCCCTCAGATTGCAAAGCAGATGCGCTTAATCCGAGTGGGTCTCTGTGCCGCGAAAGGTCACATGCTCTCATGAGAATCCCCCTATCTCTATTCATCGCGCTCCCTGCTTCATCTACCTCGCTCTGTCCAGCAATTTTATTCCCCTCTCCTCCGTGCACACCTTTCATGAAGCACCATCGAAACATTGCGCCTGCTGTTGATTCGTCGACAAGGCTAAACTCATGCGGATGTTGATAGCGGATACCATCTCCCTCTCGAGACTGCAAACAAAACGCTGCACGTGGGAATAAGTGTACACCCGCTCTTTCTCACACCAGTATCCCTGCGCCCTGCCACTGCTACCCATCCTGCTAGGTATATAGGAGCCATCAAGCAACATCCTAATGCCAGTCAACCACTAGAGGATTACCCAGGTGGTTAGTGCTGCATCAGTTGTTCAGAGTGCATCGTTTCATTGGAGTTTACAAAGTTATCGAGAATGAATCTCAAGTGCGTGGTTCTCCTGCTGTCGATCGGTGCATCGGCCGCCCTGGTCAGGGGCGCGTCCATCGAGGAGACCATATTCGACAAGGGATACCGATCGCTGCATCGGCTGTACGAGGAGTGCCAGCAGCGAAATGGTGGTGTGTCACCCTGTCTCAAGAAGAAGGCCATCGCCTTCTTCGAGCGATTGGGGAGGATCGACAGTCTTCCCATCTCCGAGAACTTGGAGCTCGTTAAAGTACCTGGTGTGAATTACACGTACCCGCAAACCGGGGATATTGAGAGTCTCGGACGTGCTGGCGCCTCCAGGGATGACGCTCTCAATGACATTCTGTTGGAGAGAATTTCCAATCTGATGAATGGCTTCAACATTCAGATCAGATTACCGAAAACCTCGTCCGGTGAGCTCAAACGAAGTATGGAGGAGGGACGCGGGAAGATGAAGAAGATGATGGGCATGATGATGATGGGTATGACCATGAAGATGGCTGCACTTGTGCCGATAGCTATGGGTGTTCTGTTCCTTCTCGCCGGTAAAGCCCTCATAATCAGCAAGATTGCACTCGTGTTGTCTATGATCATTGGACTGAAGAAATTGCTGAGTCAGAAGCAGGGGGGCGGTCATGACTCCCACGGAGGATGGCAGAGCGGTGGTGGTGGTGGTGGTGGATGGGACAGGAGTCTCAAGGATGTGCCACGGGTGCAGCCGAACGATGTCACTGATGGATACGCGCAGAATCTCGCTTACAGCGCACAGAAGCCACAACAGCTGTAGTATTACTTAACATTATTTTTAGAAACGGGAGGCAATTTTATTTATTTATTTGACACTTGACACGACGTAACGGACGGATTTGTACGCGGACCTCAGGGATCCGAGGGCCAGTTGTTGTTCATGCGTGAACGGTTACGTATGGGTAATAAAGGAAAGAAAAAGACTAACCTTCATCTCTTTGGTAGCGGTGCTTTTTTTTGTTAATATACTCATCAGTCATGTGGTACATACCTCCTGCAACAGTTGCGCGTGTGAAATATTGTTGAATTTTATAGTCTCGGCTCGACTAATTGTTGCATCAATCACTTGTGTGCATATTTATAATCCTTTTTACTTGTTTTATTATATTTCTGCGTTTTGTATTACCTCTCGTCTACGTAAAAAGCGGTATTGTATCATGCATGCACTGTTGAAATTTCCCGCAAGCCGGAACTGGATTCCGTTTTACCTGTAACATTGATCGTTATGTGTCGAGCGAGTCCAATGACACACTTATTGCACAGCTGTTGCTCGATGGTACATATGCATTACTTAAGTTTGATTGTTGTAAGGTGTATCTACTCACCACGAGGAAATTGTTGCATTGGGTTTAACGGAGGTGGGACGCGCAGAATCATGAGGTTCATATGAAGATGATCTTATTCGCGAGAATATGATTAAATTATGATTCAGTTGAATGAGAGAGAAACACAAATGGCATCATGTACAGCCACAATAATCGGATATTTATTCATTTTTAACTTATGTAATTGGACGCGAGTCGTCGAGGTACAATAAATTATTCGATTTTACTTCATTTTTGTAAATATTTATTTCATGATTTCCCCTTCATTTCCGTGAGAATTGAATTTAACGTGAGTTCAGGTGTTCTTGAGGCCCAATACGGCGGCGAAAAGGGCGAAGAAGAATCCTGCGAGGCCTGTTGTCATCACCAGCATGATCAAGCCCCCGATGATGGCGGGAATCAGCGCTGCGAATTTGAGTTTGTAAGCCAGCAGGAGCGCTATCAGGGCTCGCTTCATCTTCTTGTGTTTCTTCGGTCGTCCTGAAAATTCATCCACAATTAAACACGACTTTTTCAACGAATAAACGATACGTAGGGGCCAGTGGGGCAGAATGGACACTTTTTACGTTTTTTTATCTCAATAAATCATTGAATTTTTGGTGGAGACAATTTTTTTTTCTTTGGAAAGTTCAAAATAATTTCCCTTTGTAGTGATACTGAATTCTATTGATCCATTTGTTTCTGAAAGGGAAATTGTTTTTTCAAGGGTATCCAAGTATCTTTCAAATTTTGGTATTTATTTTATTTATTTATTTATCTTGTTGGACTTTTTATTTATGTTCTGTAGCAAAAACTGATCTCCTGAGGATAATCCAAATATAATATTACAAAGTAAGACCAAGAGAAAAAATATGCATAATGAATTAATTATTGTATATGGTAATGAGATTCAAATGGATTTAGCGATTTTTAAACATCAAATTTGTCATTTAAATTGCATGAAAAGATTTTGAACAAAATCATCGATATTCAACGTCCTTTGAATTACATTTTGCACAGAATCTTTTTTTTTAACATTCGTTTTTTTATAAACAAATAAAAAAAATTGTTGAAACGTTCGGAAACCTCATTTTTTTGGGTATAGAATCGATTTCTGCAAAAATTCTGGATATGAATAACTGTGTTACAGTTCCAAATAAATGCTTTTTATGGTAAAAAATTGATTGCTTACAAATTATTTATAAAAAATGCTTTTGATTTTCCAAAATTACAATTTTCAATTATTTTATCATTATTCCCCCAACATTTTCTAATTTTTTTTTCAAATTCAGACCTACAAAGTTTAAATAATCAAATCCTCGTAAGATTAGAATTGGGGTTCAAATGAAAGTGCCGTTATTCGACTATAAAAGTATTTCACTGATGAAAAAATCGCCAAAGTCCTTGGATATCCTCAACTGATTTAGAAGAATAAAGAAATCCCCTGATGACGTCATCCTTGGGAAACGAACCGTTGGTATAATAAAATTGTGAGAAATTCTTCCTCAATTTCAACTGTCCTAAAACTGCTGGAGGAGGCTTAGGCCATTTTAATGACATCAACAATCATGAAATACAAAAACGGTCAAAAAAATATTGTTGAAAAGTGTCCGTATTTCCCCACCTTCCCATAACAATAATTTATAAGTTACCCCTCAATTCAGCCTGTTTCAGCAGTTGAGAAAAAGTCCATCCCTCTTCTTCTTCTTCCGAATCAACTGGAAGTTTATTCGTCTTGTCCAACGCCACAACATTGTTTTTTCGCGTGGGTTTAGTCCCGGGTTTGCGGACTCTGGTAACCGGCCGAGTCGTTGTCACTTTGATCTTGGCCGGTAGCTTGGGGATACCTAATCGATTGAGCTTCCTCTCCGCATCCTGATTGTCAACGCCACTGGCCATGACCAGGCACATCAGTGCCATCACAATCACGACTAGATTTACACTATTCATCGTACACCCTTGAATATCGGTGTTCACAGATACTCTAATACTTTGATATACCGTTAGAAAATTATTCCTGAAATTTCGGGAAACAAATCTTTTCAACAACGACTCATTCACATGAATTTTCCATACATTTTGATGTGGAAGAATCAGTCAAATTCTAGAGTTTTAATGGAATTGCAATTTTTAGATCTACATGACAATAAAAATTGTTAAAAATAGTGAAAATTCAGGCAACTGTTCTTCTGATTTTTCCATCCACTGAAAATTCAATTGAATGTGATCTGTAATTTTCACAATGAGTTTGCGAATTCTAGTTATCATGGAAATATCAATGCTCGCCTAGTAAGACAGCCCCAATTTTCCAGGATTTCCCGGCTGGATAAGGGATTCCATGAACGATTGGCTCTCAAAATGACTTCAAATTTCCAACAGTGTAGTATAAACTACAGCGAATCGCAGATTTATTTATCAATTGGGACCGACATGATCGATCTGTCACGACGAAGATCGATTATGCATAATTAATTGAGATGAAAGGTGCAGCGGAAACGTCTCAATTCACAGCAATCCTTGTCCTTTCATTGTCCTTGGACGCCAGTTCAGAAGGAAATAAGCAAAATCAATCACACAGATCAACAACACTTGGCTGAACTCGTTGAACTCGCTCACCCAATCAAATAGACTTGCAATGGCCTTCAATATTCACGATCAATGTTGGCAAGCTAACGAACAGCGCGACGAACGACCAGGAACTAACCGATCCGGTCGCAATTCTTCCTAGGAAACATGATGGATCCAAAGCGGGTACTATGACGAGACATGCATCAGTTGCTACAGGAATTGGCAGTCCGTGGAAAATTAGCTGGGACAGAATATGCGTGTCGTAAGTACTATAATAACGGACGAAGGATGCGAAGCGTCTTATAGGCACTATAACCGGAGGATATTACTTTGTCGTTTATGTATGAATGGGACGTCCTGGCTTGTTGCGGCGAAATATGAAAATCATGGGTGGATGAAAAAAATTACGATACCATTTTCATTGGTCTGTTGCAGTGGGTCACGAGGAACACTTCCATCTTATTTCAGTTATGGTGGAGAGATATTCGGAACAATTCGATCGATAATCCAATTACAGTTCGATTCAGCACGTGACTCTGGATTAAGTGTAAACGTGATTGATGTCTCGTTGAGTTTCCAATCGTCACCTGCAGGTGTTCTTGGTGTTTTAGCAGCGGTAAATTATGAGAAAATTGGAGTGAGGATTATCCCACAAAAGATAGATTACGTATAAAAACTGAGTGCAATCGCGAGGAAATTGTATTGGATTTTTATTGACGCACGGAGAAAGAGGAAACGGAAAGAGAGCTGAGATCTCAGGACACTTGCCTGAGATTCATCGGAAGTGTTTTCATGCATTGAGAAAAAAATTTCTAATATCTGAAACGTATTTACGTGAGACAAGTAGTTTTTCTTCAATCGCTTAATTCTCACAGGCATCTCAACTCATGTGGTCCGAGAAAGGTCTCATTACATTTCTGTGGGATAAAAATGCACCGAAAAGTAGTGGAATTGTTCAATAAAAATTCGATAAAACTCTCTAGGGAACTTCCTCCCCTCGTTTACACGGAGAGAAATATTCAATAAAAATTACGTATCTTTTCCGTAACTCCGGAGCGAAATGTGGTTATAGGAAATTTTACGGAACTGTCACGGAATTTTTTCAGAGCGTTCCGTAATTTTTATCCGAATCTCCTGTGAAAAATTACGATATCGTAATCAGAAAATTACGATATCGTTGCGGAGTACCGTCACTTAAATTTTCTGAGTCGATTCCGTAATCGGTGAGCGACTTGTGAGTTCCGTAATTTTTACTGAACATATCTCTCCGTGTAGTAGAACTCAAACTTAATTTTTATCTGCATTTTTATTCTCAACAGATGAATAGTTTTTTGAGCATAAACAAATGTTTCCTCAATCTAAATAAAGACTTCAATAAGTTGAAATGAAATAGATGTTCGGACGAAAAATTGGGGCGCATCGCTACTGATCCGCAGAAATCACTGTTCTCCAGGCTGATTTTTATGGAGTGTCATGTAAAAATGACCATTCGACACATAAAAATTACGTTTCGATTCATAAAATTTCCACAACTCCGGAGGCAAAATTTATTCTTCGCTCTGGCTTTTTTCCGTGTTTTTACGTAACAATTACCGAAGGAGTAGATTAACAAGTAATTTTTTACTTGATTAATAATTTAGGAGAATGTAATAAATTAAGTCGTTTAGAATTTTTTCCGGAAATCCATGGGAACTTTTGGATGCTGTTGTCCTGGATATACATACAGTAACCCTACTCTGCTCATCATACGTGACCCTGCGTCGCGTCGTATCACTACGGATTCGCCACCGAGTTATTTAGGCTCCAGAATTGCCGAGTTCACTCTATACTGCCCGGACGCGTTTAGCGAGTTTCCGGCAACGTCGCGTAACAGGCAATTTCATTTAACATGAAAAAAAAAAAATCATCGGTGTGATGATTGATTGATTGATTTTACGAAATTCGGGAATTATATTGTTCTAGAAACTACTATAATTTTTCAGACCCTTCAATAGAAAAAGTCAAATTAAAACAAATTTTTCTTATTAGCCAGTTAATGGCAATTGAAGAAAAACGGTGCGCTGCGGCGTTTCACTCGTTTAGTGACCAATTCAGGGGTAAAAATTACGGAGATACCACCAAAAAATAGAACATTTTGTTCTGTATTAAACTGTTAGAAATTTTTTGAAATTTCATTGAAGATATTGTGGTAAATCTTATGAGAGTGACATTGAATTGGATTTAGGGAAAAAATGGTTATGAAATCCCAAGTTTTAAGTAGAATTTCCGGAAATTCATGAGTTTTCAGAGGTAGTGAGGTGGAAATTTCACAACTTGATTGAATTTTCAGTAAAACATTAATATTCAGAAACAAAATGACATAAATTTTCAATTTTTCCCGGAATTTTCCTGATTTTTCTAAATTTTCATAGAATAAATGAACCGAAAAATCAAGTATTTTATTGATTTTCAGATCATTTGAACAGAAAATCAATGGAATAATGATTTTTCAATGACAACATTTCCTGAAATTTCGGTGGAACTTGAACACGTTTCAGGCGAAAATTTTTAACAGTGTACTTGTCCCCCGGAACTTGACACTTTTATAGACATAATTTACATCGAAAGTTCAACAAATTTACAGTTATGCTCTTGGGAAACTGCAGTAGGTGTTGAGGTGAAAACTCTTGGCTGCTTGTAATGAGAATTTGGAAACAATTAGTGAACCGAATGCCTGGGAGAACTCGAGCAGAGCATGGGGTCGAAGTTAGTGGTCTTGCGACTATCGTCATCATTACGGGTTTCGTTGCGGTTACGCGGTTATACGTTTTTCACAGTCAAGGTATAATAGTGAGAATGCCGAGGTGATGAACGAAAGCCGAGACGAAAGCGTATAAACATTCGATTCTTCTCCTCTCCATCTTATTTTCTTCCTGAATTGGAAAAAATGTCATTTATCTATCCTAAGGGGATATATATTTTTTATGTAAATTCTAATGGAATTCTTGTCCTCGATATGTTAATAGCCCTGGCCATTTGCGAAATACATAGCCTCTATCTTCAGTAGAGTGGAATTCATTTATTTTATAATCCCTATGCTCATTCCTTTGATATTCATCATTATTCTAGTTCGTTGAACCGTAACGCATTAATTCGCAGAACATTATATCGTTGAGAATCCCCACGATTATCAAAATATTCGGCTGTGAGAATCATATTCATTTACAGTAATTTCAATTAGGTCTAATTAAGGAGAAAAAATTTATTAGAATAAGTCAATAAAAAGTAAATAAAACTTGTTATAATCATAGCTAGAAGACAATTTGACCGTATAATTTCTCATAATGGTTTGCTGATAGTAAGGACTGAGCAATTTTTAAATGAGTGACATTAAATTCTATTTAGGGGTTAAAAATGATACACGAAGACAAATTTTCTAGAAAAATTCTAGTACGAGTACTGGAAAAAATCACAATCCACCGGCTGTGAAAAATTCTAGTGCTGTTAAGGTAAAATTTCTTGGTATTTCTGGGAAAATTATTTTGTTGTTTTATAACGATATATCTCGAAACTGCCTGATCGCTAATCCTCAGTTCTGATTGGTCAATGAGTCACGTGAAGCATTTCTAAATTTTTTTAACTCACAAATTATTCTTCACTTCCCAAATTTTAATTTTTTCATATTTATCATCCGCAAAAATGATCCATTCTTGCTTCTCAGATTTTCATACATAAATTCTAAACTCTACAAAATTCATGAAAATTCTTCGGTTTCCCAAGTAATTCGAGAAAAATCTTTGAAGATCTACGGTTATCTGGAAAACTGTGAAATTTTCCAAAGTATTCAAGAAATTTTTTCAGTTTTCTAGGAAATCAATTCATAACCCTCCCCTCATTTTTCAACAATTACAGATTTTAATCAGATTATTTTAAAAAGTAAAAAAAAAGAATTAATCGAAGATGAAAAATTATTCACTGATGTTTCAGTCTTCAGTCTCTTAATTCGCTTCAAGTCATTATCGACATTTATAAAACATCTATGAGTATATGAAGTTTAATAAATTCGATTTCTTCATGTTCACAACGAATAGATAAGCGCGCGCAGTTCTAGTTTCTGTGAAATTTTCATAGAAATACGGGGTAAAATTCACGTTTTCCCCAATAAAATTTCTAGTGCCGGCACTGGAATTTTTTCCAGTTACTTTGCCATTTTCCATTTTTTTTGGCCGTCACTTTGCGCCTCTTTTCCCGTGCTAGCACTAGAATTTTTCTAAAAAATTTCTCTCCGTGTAGTATTTCACAAATTCTCTAGTTTACTTGAATTGTTCAATTAATTGAAAATTCGAGAATATATTCACCTGATTTTATAATTTTTATGATTTTTCATGGAATAATTGAAATTG